AATGACAAATTACAAACTTTTTTCTTAGTGTCTCAACAATATAGATCATTGCTGAACTTTCTTGCTCAATCTTACCATTTAAATAAGGGGGTGCCACTCGACTGACATTCTAATTTATGTTCCCACATGTATATGTTTGTTTTGTCGATCTCATGTGCTGTTGGTGTTGTGGATTTTTCTTATTTTCTATTTTGTATTATTCGATATATTTCCTATACGAATATTTTCTTTGTTTTGTCGTTCTCGTGTGCTGCTGGTCTACTACTACTAGGATGACCCCGGAAAAGAAAAGTCAAAAGCATTTTTCTGAATATGTTAATTGTGTAGAATGAGGAGCACCCTATTACGTTAGCTATCCACCGACACCGAGGTCAATGTTTTCTCTCTCTCTCTCTCGTTTACTCTCATTCTCACCTATTTCTCCTATACTTGTCCTTTTTGTACTCGTTCTGATTAGTTTACTCTTTCATCCGTCCTCTATTACCAGCTATTTACGTGTATTGCCATTAACTCTGTACACTATGTTGACTGATGAACATAGAGCCCATATAGTTTTGGTTGGTAAGCGTAAGCCCCCCCCCCCCCCCCCCCCCCCCTCTATAAAATAATTTGAAACTTTCATCAGGTTTTCATTTATCAATAGTTGATAAATAGCAAAATATTACCAAATTCTAAGCTGCTGTGAAGTTTTTTCACCTACCATTGAGACAACTGATAGATGGGAAACATTAATAGCCTATCTAGATTTTTTGTTTTCCTTGAGGGGGGAGGGGGGGGGTGTGCAGTATTTAGTATTTTAATAATTATCCTTTTACTCTTTTGACCTTTGCTATGAGCTGTAAGAACGGAGCAACCAAGGACTGCATCTATTAAAATGCCGTATAACAAAACAACCACACTAATTATGCTGAAAGGGAACTAATGACTAATCATTACTGATTAGTGTATACATATAGCTACACCAAGGTAGACATTATCTATCTAATTGCCCGTGACCAATAAAGAGCAAAATTTACACAATAATTCAATACAAAAGGGCATTAGTATAGCGTACTGTAATCAACTATTCACACTAACATCAAATTATCACTGAAATCATCTCTCACCCCAGGAACACATGCAATAGACCCGTTTATTATTCATGTATGCTTCTTGAACAGAAAGTTTCTCTTGACATCCCAAAAGCTTGCCAGACATAGCAACAGCTAATGTCTGCAAAGTGGATTCCATCTATAGCGATGGCATTTTACATAGCAGGTGAATTAAATTGTTAGAAACCAGGGGTTCAGGCAAGAAACATGCACATATTGAAATACATTAATAAACAGGTCCATTCACTAACATCAATATGAAAGTATTTTGTGACGCAAACAACAGAAGAAATGAAGACTCGATAACAGCATATTTGTGGAACAACATTAATTGTATTTCTGACCTCAGCTATATCATCACTACTACTGTCACAGAGAACACAAAAGTTACAGGGACAATGCCACATATTATCTTACACAGCTCTTTGCCAAGATCTTAGGGCAGTCAGTAGTAACTCATATTGGCAACCGTTTCATAGGTTGCCGTTCCAATAAATTGACTCCGACCTTACCACTGCCTATCTCTTCCACATGGCAACTTTCAGGCAATGTTACTTTTCACTACCAAAATATTTGTTTACATTGACTTGAAAAGATTTTTTTTTTCCTTTTAATTTGCTCCACAGTTAGGCAATAAAGACTTCATATTAACAAGAGTACAATTCACAATTTTTGAACAAAAAAAAAAGCTGTCATGATTCAACTTACTAAATAAAACACTGTACAGATTAAACATAACCAGGTACCAATCGTGTGAAGGTGAGTGCTTTCAACCATCACGCACACACATAAATTTACTGGTCTACAGATTATACATCATCATCATCATCTTCAATTCATTCATAAAGTTACATTTAAAGATGATCAATATCATTGCATTTCGTATTATTTACCGTCTTTTTGTTGTTGTTGCTATTTCCTGAACCAGAAAACACGAATTTTGATTAAAATGTTGATATTCTGTCGGACACACTTGCAAAATCTGACTCGAGTTGAACTACAAAACAGAACAGACTGCATTTACATCTAGTTGTATGGATGAAAGAGCAGTAGTTCTGTGCACACTTATTGATTGTTCTTCAGGGCTAAAGGCATACAAACTAGTTTGTACATTGTCCTATAATTCACACCCAATCTTAGGTCTACAATTGATCATCTCGTTGCAAACAAAGGTTTTGAAGATTGACATTCTGGGGTTCATTAAATCATATTATGTGCAGTGTGTTTACGTTAAGTTAATGTCAGCTTTATCCTCAAATAAATTAAGGTAACTTTGAATCTTTACTTTTAATAAAACTGAACTAGAATTTGACAAATTTTCAATTTACTTCTGTGGCGGTTTATGGCACCGCAATAAAGGATAATAATATAAAATCATTCTCATACCAACCAAATTTAATAACTGCATGTGATGCGTTATCATACTGACATTCGTCATTGTACTGAAACCAATATTTTTCTATTGATGTCAACTCAAATGAGGGCAGAATTAATAGGACAGTGATTCAGGTGTTTTTTTTTTCTTCTCCTTCTTAGGTGCTGCACAGAATAAATGATAAACAGAGTATACATGAATTTATATAACATGTCATAAATGCTACATCACTAGGGGTAGGCTAAATAGAATTGCATGTTCCTTATCATCCCTAAATAATCATCATACTGTACATACACATGATCAGAATTTGTCATATTTTTTGCTCCCAGTTTGTCTAAGGTCAAAGGTCAGGAGTACCAATGGCAAACAGGACAATATTTGACATGATACCTACACATAAACACCGACATGAAGCTGACAAGGAAAGAAGTGCGTGAAAAAAGTGTTCCCTGAAGACGAACAAAGAAAGCGAGCTGTCACTCCAATGTGCATATGTGTTGTTACACTACTGCTTATTTCAAACCGAGATTTACATGACTATTTTACAAGGCTCTTAATTTATTTTTTGTATACATATAGGTATATACAAAAGAGGAAAATGTAAGCGAAAAATTATTCTTTTTTTAATGCCAATTTTGTTGCTGATACAGCTGATGTACAGCTTTTTTGAGTTACCAATCATGCAGCCACCCATGGTTAAAATGACCATCAAGATTAATTGAATTGAATCCTCTTATTGAAATGATTGCGTACTGTTGATACATTAACAATTATAACATTATCTGTTTGTTTCACAGAGATGCTGGGATATACAGCAATGCATACTCAACACATTAAGAGACATATAAAGACGAACACTTGGGAAATCCTTCTCCCCACTTTGGTGCAAAATTTGAAAATATGAAAATACTATATTCTTGCTTGCTTGTGTTTTTAATGGGAGGTGTTTACACTACCTATGCAAGCATGAATCGGTTGACAAATAAACAAAGAGTAATCCTCTGCAATATGAGGTAACCAAAGACATCACACGATGATACCTTCACATCACTCTTCTATGCTTGGTCTGTTTAACGGATGCTGCAGCAATGAATGCGTGCCGCATCCTCTCCCTCTCCGTAGTGCAAAAGGCACAGTGTTGTTGTTATCGGTTCAAATATGGACAATAAAAACAAGAGCTCACTCTTTCTTTCTCTTCTGATGAAACGTAAATGAGTGGCTTAGATCAATCACCAAGATTCTACACTTCATAAAACAATCAAACAAGTGCTACTTGGGGCCCAAGGGGTCTCTGCTTCCACAGGCAAGTCACTGTCTCAGAGACCTATACATTATGATACAAACTACGCTACATAATAAAACCTCTTGCACTTTGAAGTGCTCCTCCGTAAGGATTTCATCATTTCAATCACCATTCATCTTGGTTGAAAAACAACCAACTGATAGAGGAACCAATGGACACTTTTATACAATAATTATACCACATCACATAATGCTTTAAACAGGAAAAAAAAAGTATCCCAAAGATACGATTGAAAGGTTAACATTGATCATTATCAAAAAGTCCCAATTTATAGTTTCTTGCACATATTCCTTCCTACATATACATGTATATTATAGATATGGAAACTTACACTACAAACAGACAAGTTTCTGCAATATATATTTTTTTTTCTCAAATTTTTCATTTTTCTTGTAAGGATACTCACAAAAAGCATAAGGGAAATACAGTTATCATTAAAGATCTTACTTTGTACATAAAAAGCCATTATAAAATCCACTAAAACACGAAGTTATCATTTTATTTTGTTTTTCTTTTTATTCATAGGAAGAAAAATGAAACAAATGAGTCACACTTTGATGATAACCTAACCTAATGAATTTGGCCCAGTGTTTTTCTTAAGATGTCTGCCACACTGCTTTTTTTCCTTTATATGCTTAGTACCTAAAGTGCTATTCATTACCAACCTCACAACTGTACAAAAGAAAATTGACAACAAAACAAAGTAAAATATGATGAAAATTAAAATGGCAATGTGGCTTAATTTACAAAATTCCTGTACGATAATAACAATATAAGGAATTTGACCAAGAGTTTATCTTTCTTTCTATTCATTTGTAGCATTTGTATAAGCACAACTATTCTGTATAATTATTTCCATGAAATGTTTGAATTCATGTTATTTTAAGATTCATTTGGGGGGGGGGGTTGAAAATTATATCATATCGCATTCTTCCCCTGATTTTTCTCATGACTTGAAATTTTTTGCTGAAAAATAAATAAAATAAATTGCTATCAATAGCAACAATGAAAGGCCACGTTACATCGTGACTTTTACATTTGTGCATCAATCATTCAGGTTAGTTACATCCTCATTAATCAAGCTTGTTGTCATGACATAAACCTTAAAATTGTTAATGATTCTATCGATTCTTGATGGTCCAAAACAAAGAGCACTGTTCAAGATCCCTTATAACAAAATTTACCTGGTAGAAATATGACAGACAGTAAATTCATTCATGAGGAATTCATTAAGAACAGAGCAAGCTTTTTGACAATTTTTTTTCCGCCTAGCATTGATTATAACTCTACACGATTGGACACACAATAAGAATCCTGGTGCACCGTTTCCACACAGGAAACAGATAAAGAGATAAAGTTCTGACACTGCGCATTATCAGCACAGGCTGAAGTTAGCAGACAATTTTTTGTTTCCTTCATTGGAACCACAGGTGCAACTCCTCCAAATTTCTCACGCGCTCACTTCAAGTCACTCTTCCTCAATCAACATCACCGTCGTCCAATTTGAAAATAAACTCCACAGGATACCTGGGTGAAGGAGAAAATGAGAAGGAAAAATTGTCAATACAAATGCACGTGATAAATAGGATGAGGGAATTCTTGGATAATAATTTGTAATGTACTGACTCTCAAGCACTCAATGTAGCATATTTTTACTTCTTGAGTAAGTTAATTCTTATTAGTTAGTTGGGATTAGTTGTAATATTTGGCGTTTTAAGCACATGAACATCTTAAGATAATTAATAATAATAATAATCCATTTTTTTATATAGCGCTCAATACACCAATCAACGATGTGCCTAAGGGCTTTACAGATATATTATTACCCCGGTCATCGGATTCAGGCTTACCCGCACACAATGTGTGCACATTTTCCACTCCCTCGGGAGCATTCCAGCCAGTCGCCATTTTACAAGCGCAGACTTGATCGTCCAACCACATGAACGTTCGCATCTAGAAAGCATTGCAAATATGTTTATCCAGTACATCTATAACATATTAACCGACTCAATTTTACGTATTTTGCATTTGTGAAAGCTCTACACTGCACTATTGTGCATTCCATCATACACAGGTGGAAGTATTCTTTGAAAAGGGGAAACAAAGGCTATTTATGTAGCACCTCCATCGCTGCAGGAGTGATTATTTCAAAATGAACAAAGTGTGACCTCTTCATGTTTTCAAGATCTGTGGATATTCAGGATCTTTTGGGACATGTGCCAACCGTGAACTGGTCTATTTCATACCGGTAGGTCAACTTTTGGCTGATTTTCAAAGATGCTTAGAATATATACTTCAAATGCAACAACAGTAGTGAATTGTTATTAACCATTTACTTTGGGGAGACTTTCTAGTCACTACCTAGGCCACAGGGGCAGGGCTTTAAGGTTGACCAACAAGGTTTTAGATGGTCCCTGACATTATGCATACTATTACTAACCTAACAATTGCTAAGAGCCACACTTGATCTGCCACTGGCCCTGTTTAGAAGAGACCACAGTCCTTGAGGTTGTTCTTGATGATGACATCAGTGACGGCATCAAACACAAATTGGATGTTGTTGGTGTCCGTGGCACAGGTGAAGTGTGTGTAGATCTCTTTCTGGTCCTTGCGTTTGTTAAGATCCTCAAATTGCATCTGGATGTAGGCGGCTGCCTCCTCGTATGTGTTGGACCCTAATAGATGAAGAGATCATAGTTGGAAAAAACAAATTTAGTCATGTATGCAAATGAGTAATGTAAACACAAACTATTTATTTTTACGAGATAGGTCAGTGTCTTGCCCCTTTAATTCCAACTGCTTGTAATGTTAATTGCAGAAAACACTACAATATCTTTGGAGGCTTTAACAACAAAATTGTTAAACCACAATATCTATTGAGATTAAAAAAATTGTCTAAGGAGATCTATTTTTACATATAACATCTGTTCTCCGGGAAAATGGCTGCCGCCTTGTTCAAAGTTCATGGCAGTAGCCAGACAAGTAGATAATGCACTATGGTAAGTAAGTGAGTTTGGAATCATGCCAATGTTGATAATCAGCAGTGTAAATACATCAAATTCACACCCTGGCAGTTGAAAATACTCCCATTTCAATTGTGTATATGATTTACACGTACTGTATGTAATTTGTTTAGCATTGAACATAGGTTCATGAATTATAAATTTAGATGTTATAGCTCATAGTTAACATTGTGTATCAAGAGAAATGATTTCCACCATCATCAAAACCTATCTGTCTCCCAAACAAATTATTTGTGTCAAGTGTTTGCAAAGTCAGTAGCATGCGGAGGGTTAAGAAACAAAATCTACTTAAATAACGACATGCACATGTTTGTACATGTATGCTACATGTATGTCACATGATACTTTTGAAAAATCTGCAGACAAATCATTTTCTAAAGAGCTCCAACTCTGAGCCAATGCAATCTTCTGCAAGGAAAGCTTTCAAAAGAACATGAGAAATCCAACACTCATGAAGTAATGGTGTAGGCTTAGAAATGAGTACAAAGTAGTTCACAAACACTAAAGAGAAAATGTTTGAGATGCCTGCATGATATGATGTGATAGCATGTGAGAATTGATGGCATTCTTATAGCCTACATACAGCCTCAACTTTTTTTCACGAGGATTAACTCATCTGATGAAATCCCCATATGAAATTGATTTAACATCCATGTGTGTAAGTACTTTTCCTGCACATGCATGTAGCATGAGAGTAGCATGAGAAGGCATGTATGGGTATTTTCAAGGATTTTTATTTTTAATCTCTATAAAATGAAAAGGTGATAAATATCTTTCACCTTAATTCAACACATGATCAATACAACTGTTTGCCCTCGGTTGTACTCATGTATTTTCATTTTTTAAATGAGGTGAAACAAAATGAAGTAAAATTAGTAAAATATGAAACTATGAATTAAGTAAATGTACAGAACATATGGGGAAAAAACCTTTGATTTTTCTAGAAATTCAAAATCTACATGTACTAATTAAAAAAAGGAGGGGGGTACATTACGATGTACGCTTAGAGTAGAGTATACACTGCATGCTAAGCAAATATTATGGTTTAGGACTATAAGTAAACAATCACGCAGTATTCATCTTAACCTACTTCACTGCACTGAGCATGTTGGCTCTAAATCCACATTTCACATTCATACCATGTATATCAATAAATACATAAATATAATGTGTTTGAGTTTTGTGCCCCCCTACTATCAGCATCCTTAAAAACAGCTATATCAGCAATTGACAGGACACTACAACCACCATGTTTACTGCCCAAATTACTCGCTAGTATTGCCATTATCATTCATAATTAGGCGTTACGCATGTTCCACCACTGTCCAATCAGAAAACACCGAGGGTCGTTATAATTTCCTAGGGAACAGGAAAGTGTATGGAACAAGTACCTGTGTTGATTAATGAAGTACCTTGAATAATTGAAGCTCATTACACGTACAGGCAAACCATATGCATGTATACACGCTTTGCAGGCTGATCCATCATGTACTGTACAGTAGATTCAATGACCTATGAATTTTGTATGTTGCTCAATTAAAATTTGAAGATCCAACTTTAATTACGGTAGTAAGTAAATTACTTCACCCAAGATATGATTTATTTTTTTGTGGAAAAAGAATCCTGATTTACAGGTTGATAACAACACTGTCAAATACTGTTTTAATACATCTCCTATCCAAAAGCAACATGTACATTTAAATCCTTCCTTTTTTTCCTTTTTTTTCTGAAATCAATCTTGATGCAGAATGAGGATTTTTTTTCCTTTTCTTTTTCTTTTAGTTTCATAAAAAGATTTTTTTCAAAATCCTCCCCTCTGTAATTGCTACATTCTGAACAGACTTGGGAATCCACTAACATGAGGAGAATATAAATACTCAGATTCCTATCATTTGGTATGAAACAACATGTTTTTACAAACAATCCATGCTACTTCAGTTGAAGCATACAATACAATCCAAACATGTAGAAGCAGTGTTGTTTATTCTGATTCTCCCACCCGCCTCATTTCCGAGCATTTCTTTTAATAACAAGTATTCCTCTTCTACAGCAAACCCACGCAGGCAAACAGAATTTTCTCACACTTGCGTGGGCATGAAAGAATTTTCTTTCACTAAATTGAATCTCCTAAGCTTTAAAATGTTTCTTCAAAAGTACAGGTATTCAAAAGATATTTTAAACAATACATGAGTGTTTAGATTCCGGTTGTGCACATATGAACCATTTATAGCAAAATGGGTTCCTCAAATCATTATGAAATGTTTATCTCCATTGCTTAAAACACATAGAGATACTACTTCTCCATGGGAAAAAAATGACAGTGTTGTGGTTTCTAACAAAGCTTTTTTTCCCCACTTCACCTCCTTCAGAGGAGGCGCGATGGTAGAGCAGTGGTCTCGTAATCCGGTGACCCAGGTTCGAAACCAAGGCGATGCGCTAGTGCCCTTTGGTAATGCATTAATCCTCATTCCCAGGTCCCTCGGAGAGGACCTTAAGCCCTCAGCCGTCTGGTTGCTTACTTACAAGCATTTATGCTTTCTTAGCAGTCAGGTAAAATAACCACCACCACATGAAAGGCATCATTTAAAAATGCTTTGGAAAGAATGAATAATCCAATCATTTAACAGGAAGAAATTACATACATTGCAAAAATGACCAAATAGGCTCATATTCTTAAAGTATGTAGATTTAGTTCCTTGATTTATGGACTGCAAAATGTCAACCCTTTCATTGTGTAAAATTCAATAATTACGTAACTAAATTTTTGTTTCTGACTTTTAAATCACTTTCTCATTTTCATGTCAAGACCAAATTGATTTTGTTTCTCTATTCTGCTATATAATAACAGTGACTGAAATGGAAATTAGGAGTTGACACATGACCTTCCACAAATCTGTGGATTATGTGAAACCACGTTTAACTAGAGCAGCTTTTTATTACAGAATATGAAATAAAGAGAAGAAAATAAAATTACCGGTATATTCTGGGAAACAGATGGTGAGAGGTGACTTCTGGATTTTCTCTTCAAAGAGATCCTTCTTGTTCAAGAAGAGGATGATAGAAGTCTCTGTAAACCACTTGTTGTTACAGATAGAGTCAAACAGCTTCATTGACTCATGCATGCGGTTCTGGAAGGAAGATAAGAAAGAATACAATAAAATTAAGTTTGTTAATAAATAATCATTAATACCACATGGATTTATCAATAAATTTAAACAAGGACCATTGTCTATCCTACGTGTACATGTGTATGTAATCATTTTATTACCTTACAAAACAGAAATGTGTCTTGAAGGAGTTAAAAATTCACAAGTTACATACAAATTATCCTACAAAATAATACCAGGTACATGTACCATAGGTGCACATAACCTGTATGGCATCATGCTTAAAAGTTCAGGGGGAAAGTCTCATGATTAGTTTTTTTATTTTGAGAATCATCATTTAAAAAAAAGATTAAAAAGATTATATAACAATCATCCAGAATCATTTCTTATCGCTACACCTTCAATAATAAGGTGCACCTACTTATCCCATCTCCTATGTAACCAACTGTGTTTTGATAGTGTATCAATCTAAATATATATATATATTTATCTTCATCACTAGCACATCCTGCTGTGAAGTCCTGTGCATTTATGAAGCCATGTCCCTCTCCCTTCTGATGACATACATCATGCGCTCCCCGCTGCTAATTACGCTTGAATGTCAAATACTCATAATTGGAGAGGAAAAGCTCGGCTCAAGTCCTAGCCTCGCCCTAATTGAGTCGAGAGCACACAACCTCCAGTTCACACTCATTTGCTTGTTATGGCCATGGGGCACATACATTTTGAATACATATACATGTATACACAGATTGGTTACTTTTAAAAGACAATAATGAAGCAAATTGCAATAGAGTGTGACGTCGTCAAAAATCTATTTTGGGAATTTCTCAATTTTTTCTTCATTTTCTGAAAGAGCATCAAAACTAGTGTCCAAATGTCGAAAATCAATTGAATATGTTAAGTATTGGCTGAGATATGACCATCTGAATAAATAGATGTCCTCTAGGAACTCAGTGTTATTTGCTCTGGTTCATAACCATTAGGAGCAAGAGCATATTTAACATATTGTAATCAACAGTGTATAAACCGCACTTTTTTGCCGCCGAAAAAAAATTCAAAGTCGGGGGGGGGGGGGGTGCGTCTTATACACGGTACACACAAAATAAAAAATTAAAATTAAAATTAAAAAAAAAAAAAAAAAAAGTTTTGATTTATGCCCCTCCACCTGGCGCCATGCCTGGCAATGTCTTCCAGCTCAGTAATCGGTGTGTTGACTCACCATTCAGAAACTAGAACAACACTCAAATTTGTCTGTCATCTTGGTTTGAAAGTAATCTTTCTGATAGATCTCAATATGTAGTTTATATTAATAATTCCTCCAATTTTTCTTCTATTACACAGCTTACCGTAAGGTTCTATTCTAGGTCCTCTAGACCTCTACTGTTTTTTTAATTTACATTAATGATCTTACACATTCAGCTGCACCTCACAGTTAAATGAAAGGCCTTCCCGCATGGGTTTTTTAACACAGACCTGGCTTGCTGCCGACTGAGTCGGCAAAAAAAAAAAAAAAAATCATTAACATTTTGTGGACCTGTGTTTATGCTTCAACACCTGAAGCAAGGATTTGCAAATTGTTTGTTAATTTCATCAAGTCTTAACAAAGTTCACCAATATCTTTAAAAACTTATCCCAGCAGAAAAGTAGATATTTTGAAAAAAGGATCAGCTTTTTAAACAGATAGAGAATATAATATGAGAAGGGCTCGACACTACAGGCTGCGCCAAGGACCATTGGGCGCCCAAAATACATAGGGTGTGTTTATATAGACTGTCAAAAGTTCAATCCGAACCCCCTTCCAAAAAAGTTAGTGCGGAGATGGTGCACATAAATTCCTTGCACTCTTCTACACACTGTACGTGTACACATACATTTTTTAATTGCCTTCACCAAGTCAAGTGCTAAAAATAGCAACAAATAGAATTGATGGTTAACGAGCAGCAATATTCCTAATTAGAGAGGAAAATGCTTAGCGCAACTGACCCCATGATAACTCACGCTAATTGGACATAATAATGCTCATCTCCTTCATCATCAATTGTTTGACATTCTGTTATCTCCTTTCATGAAGATTCTAGAAGTAAGTAGCTCTACTGATGCTTTTATCTAATGTACATGCCCTATTATTACACAACTCTCTCAAAAAAGTGCTTGTTTACTACATACATTGTGCGGGCCTGTATTTCTTACTTTTTCTGTATTTGAATTTGGATATTTTTTGCAATGCATTACAAAATATATTTTATTCCGAAAAGAAATCTAATTTGTACTTTATAATTAATCTAATTATGAGTGATAAATGACATTATCCTTGTACTAAGTTACTAACAACTGAATGATATCATTACACTGATACACTCATTACAGATGTATATGTAGTCATTTTTTTCTCTCTTTCACTGGCAGTGCTGTTACTATGGGAACAGAGCTAATGAATTCAAGTTTACGTTTCGCCTCTATTACTGACTGGCCTGCAGGAGAAAGAGTGAGAGACAGAAAGAGAAATGGAAAAAGAGGCACACCGGAGAGAGAAAAGGCTTACAATATACTTTACAAATCACATCCCGAGCTGACACAGAGTTGCCAGGTCTGATACCGGTACACACAAACACACTCGCATATATACTCTCATGGATGCATCAGAGAGCTTTCACTTCTCAATAACAGAATACTGGTAAGAGACATGCACAAATCCCAATTGGAATGGCCTAATAAGCAATTAGAAATGAAAAATTCACTGGTGGGAGACAGCCAGCTAGGGCAATTAACATTATTAAAAAAAATAAGTCAACAGAAAAACAACAATATCAACAACAAACAAAAAACAAGTAACATTGATGATGCACAGCAAAAATAAGGAATCTCTAATGGCAAAATTAGGATTACAGTCTATTTTTTCACACAGATGTTTTCAGTAAAAGTGAGGAATCTATGGTGAAAGATCATGGAGGCCAAAAATTAGGAATCATTCCTCAAAAATAGAAATAATTGGCAGCTATATGCTGCACGAAGAGAGACTTTGTCATGTACAATCAATACCATTTCCATGTTTTTTAAATGTAACATTCTTGAAATGAAATATGATAATGATTTTAAATAGTTTTTACTAGTGCTGTAGTCAAACGTTTAACCATCCGGTATCCGACCGCCCATGGCGGATTCCGTTTTCAATTGGACGGTTTCGTTTTCCCGTTTTTTTTTTTTTTTTTTTTTATAATTTTTTTTTTTTTTTAATTTTTTTTTTAAAGTTTCGATTTATGCCCCTCCACCTGGCACTATGCCTGGCAATGTCTCCCAGCTCAGTAGTCGGTGTGATGACTTACCACTTGGAAACTAGAACAACACTCCAATTTGTCTGTCATCTTGGTTTGAAAGTAATATTTGTAATAGATCTCAATATATATTCATCCAAGTTTAACACATGGTGTACCACAAGGTTCTATCCTAGGTCCTCTACTGTTTTTAATTTACTTTAATGATCTTACACATTATTCTAAAACGACATTGTTACTATTATTTGTGACTAGTTCACAAGCACAAATCGGCGCCTTCAGTTAAATCACCTTCCTGCTTTTTCACACGGCCAAAAAAAAAAAAAAAAAAAAAAAGATTTTTTTTTTTTAATTTTTTTTTTTTTTTAATAAATCGTTTAACCGAAAACCGTCCGGTTTTGACAGGCGGTTAAACGGAATTGGAGATATCCGTGATGTTACAGCACTAGTTTTTACAATTCAAATGTTTAGAAATACATAGATGTAGATCTTTCTATGTTATGCAATTTCCAAGAAAATTTCAAATTGAGTTACAATTGTGCTGGTCCTACATGTACATGTTACATCCTCAGCAAATGAAGGTTTTTCTTTCTAATGTATACAGTACCTATTAAATATTTAATTTCATATTTTAATGATTTAGCTCTGAAATTCAATCGTAGTGCCAGAACTTGATGGTGTTTTTATTAGATATCAGTTCATTGATACTGGTCTATTAAATGCTCATAAATAATACATTTAGAATTAGATCTTTAAAATAGTAATTTTCATATGGGCTTTGTGATACTTGCAATGTTAATTGTTTGCTTGAGACTCCTTCTGAAGAAAACAACTTATAAATGCAACACCTAATTGCTAGATAGATGTCTTGAATATATCAACTCTATGCTGCCTGCATACATGTACATGTATATACTGATCAAAACAATTTGCTCCTCAAATTATGTTAAGATTTGCAAGAAGACCCTCTGAATATCAATTGAGATAAACTATAAATGAAACTAATACGTCGAGGTCAAAGTAAAGAAAAGGTACGTGTACAGTGTATGCATGTGACCAGAATGAAATTTATATATATCACAGATAGAATATTGAGAAAGGAAATGATTTACATAGGGAAGAATAAGATGAGGAGATGAAATAATCTTGAATGGAAACAAGACAGGGTTGAGAAAACTATACACAGATAGAGAGAGGGGGGATGGGGAGGGGGATGGAAAGGGGGATGGGGAGGGGGATGGGGAGGGGGATGGAAAGGGGGATGGGGAGAGGGATGGAAAGGGGGGATGGGGAGAAGGGGATAGGGAGGGGGATGGGGAGGGGAAAAGAGAAAGATTGGGGGAGAAAGATTGGGGGGGGGGGAGAGAGAGAGAGAGAGAAAGAAAAGTGAAAGATGTTTTGATAAAATGAGTACCAATACTTTAATCTTAATGTGGAGGCTGTATGTAGTGATTCATTAATAATTTGCGATGCCACATCAATCACACAAATAACTTTTCATTTCAAATAAAAACATGCAGGGATTGCCTGCTTCGCCAAACATGTTATTCTCCTCGACTATACATGGAGAAGGGCACATGAGGTGTGAAGTGTTTTCAATTATGAGCAGAACAACAGTGTGAATATTTCCTCGGGGCCTCTGTAGAAGATCAGAGGTTGTCGTGTTTGTGATTAGCCATGCCCTTGAACATGAATCACAATAGTATATGAACGAATTAATTGGAGATCTTTTCATCATAACATGAT